TGATTTTATGAAAACCTAATGAAAATTTTTAAATAATGCTATGAATTTCTTTTAAAAAGTCAATTAAAGTAAAAAAAAGGAAAGTGCTTCAGTATCGGACAAAACCCCTACCACCCCCCATGAAAGCTGGAACACCACTAGTGGGCGGTAGAGATCAGGTTTACTACTACTGATTTAGAAGCTCAAAATGACATAGCCACATTTAGTAAGATTGGTAGCCTGAAATAGCTAAGTAAATATAAACACACCTTCCAAATGGACAACTATTTAAAATTACCAAAACATCTCAGGGAGACATTTACCCAAGCAAGATTCAAACAGCTTGATATAATGGTTACATTTGGGAGATTTCATTCACTGTAGAACACACAAAACTTCACTAAACCTAACCTGTATTTAAACAAAAAAGTACAAATAGTCCTCAATTTATTTAACAATCATTCAAAGTTATGCCAGATTGTTAAAAATCTACTTACAACTCATCCTTGAAGTTACTGCTGTCGTTGCATTGCCAATCATGTGACTGCATTTTGTACAGTTAACAACCTGTTCATATATATAAGCAGTTGTCAAGTGATCCTCAAAAATGTGATCAACTTTTAAAATCTTCTCTGCTGGCTTCTCCAGAGAGTCAATGGGAGAAGCTGGCAAGAAGGACTGCAAGGTCCTGCTGCCTGCCAAAGGATTTCTCCTCCCTTCCATGCATGGGAAAGGGGACACTACTACAGCAGGCTAGAGAAACAAAGCTTGGATCACATTGCTGGAGTTCCCTTCTGTGCACGGAGGGAAAGATAGATCTTTCACTACATACACTTATTGACCTATGTGATCACTTAACAACGGCAACTGGAAGAGTTGGGAAAACAAGTTTCAATATTTCCCTTCCAAAAAGGGAGTAAAATTATAATAATGCCAATTTTGGCTAATTGAAAACTGTTGGCCTGAGTGTAATTCATTTTAGTACCATAAACAAAAAAAGAGAAGCTAATCAATTCAGTTTATTATTCAACTTTTCAATCAGCCTTCACTTCAATAACCATAGTTCCTATCAGCTTTCATTCTGAATGGCCATCTATTCATTACTACTGCATCAAGGAATATAATCTCTCTCTATAGCATAAAGAGTGCTATTTTAATTATTTTTCAGTAGGAACAATCAGGCATGTTATATACCTAATCTGTCTTCATCAGTGCAATCTTAACAGGAAAAATGTTTATTAGATTAACTATTATAGACTATGTTGTGCCGGTGTGATTGAGACATATGAAGCATAAAAGAAAGCCGAGGAAAACAGAATAAATTTCATCCATATAATAGTGATGAAATTAATGCAAAATATGCATACATTCTGAATGTTAGGATCCAAACAGAATTTGGCACAATAAACTGTGTTAAACTGGGGAAAGTCAAGCTATATGCCAGATCAATAATGCTCTGTTCATATATCAATGATGACTTGTCTAATTAGACTCCTCCCTGCAATGATAAATTATGTTCTCCCAAGAACCATGAAAGCAGGGACACTATATGGAAGGAACATATGAATGACTGAATGATGATTCAAATAATTAAATAATTATGTTCCACTTGTTATTCTGGATTAACTTTCTGTGTTTACAGCTTCCTGCGCTAACTATCACTAAGTTAAAACAGCAGGACAACAGGCACATGCTTAAGAGCCATAATTAGGACTCTACCCTACTGAAAAAAATAATGTCATCAGCTGTGGATATTTCTGGGTAGTTGGAATTGAGGAATGTACAAATGGGAAAAAGAAAACTGAGAAGAACAATGAGAACAAAACATTTTTTTTCATTTTGAGAAAGTTAATCAAACAGCAGGCATATCATTTTATGCATTATCAGATATCATGCACTAAATGGATTTTATTAAAGATAATTTTAATCATTAAATAAATAATGGCAAATTGTAAAGCAAAGTACCAAGAAATATTTCTAGAATATCTGAACTACATATTTATCAATTCTATATCTGTTGAAATGGTAATTTGGTCAAGTGCTCTGATTATTAAAATAAAAAAGTGAACAAAAGAGACTATCTGGCCTGGAAACAAAGAAAATTTATTGGGATGGTACAACATTAAAAAGGAAAGCAAAGAACTAGTCCCATGATGGTGAATCTATGGCATGCATGCCACAGATGGCACGCAGAGCTCTCTCTGCGGGCACATGAGCCGTTGCTCCAGCTCACTCCACCTGCCAGCCAGCTGGTTTTCAGGTCTCTGCCATTCATGCGTAGTGTGCATGTGGGAGACACATGCACACGAGCGGGGGAGCACACATGTATGCATGGGTGGGGGTCACAGTACCCGTTGTGCACGGATGCGCAGGAGTTGCACACCAATGCACGGAGTGCATGTGGGGGTCATGTGCGCATGCACAGGGGGCAGGGTGAGTGCAAGGGGTTGCACGTACATGCATGGGGCTTATATGGGTGGTCACACGCACATACAGGGGTGCGCAGGGGTGGTCACACATGCATTGCATTATGGGTGCATGTGAGCTTTTGGCATGCATCTACAAAAATCACTGAACTAGCCCATAAATTGCCTTCTTGTAAATGATTTTTGTGAGTGATTACATGGTCATTTTGTAAATAGGCAACTGGTGACAAGTATTTTATGAATATGTATTCTCAAAATTCCAAATGTACTCCCCAGTCTGCTTGATCTAAATTTTAATTACCTGCTTCAGATTCAGGAGGGGAATAAAACTGCCCATCAGAAAGGAGCCCAGGTTGAATAAGGGCAGCTCGTTCAGAAGCATCCTGTACTAGCAATAGTCCTAAAGGCAAATAATCATAGTATTTCTTTATTACTTTATCTTACAAAACAAATATAATTAGTCATACTTTTAATATGGTGCCCTGATTTAATTCATTTTAATATTATATTCAAATTATAATTGCATCTCATGAATTCTAATGTTGTATACTTTCAGACTTCTTCTGTCTGCATACATTACTGGAGGAAAGTGGGGGAAGAAGCCTTACTGGTTTCTTTTTCTGCTTCTTGTGGTAAAACTTTGAAATCCAAGAACCATGTTTCTATCCAGGCAAGAAGAAAAGATATGATAGGCAACACATAGCCAAAAGCACCCTGAGATAACAGCTTAAAGAGGAACAAGGAAGAGGGGAAAAAAATAAGTTATGTAAAAAAACAATAAAACAGTTATATGATTTAAATAATATAAACAGATATACACTATTAAATTCCATACCTTTGAAATAATTACTTTTATTAATAAGAAGCCACTGGTTACAGCAGTTGTAAACTGAAAGAAATATGAATACATACATACATATATAAAAATGTTTCTCACCAAAATACACAACTATAAACATGCAATCATTGAGGTATAATAGTTCTCATAAAGCTTTGGCAACAATTAGCAATCTTAAAACTTTTAAAACTATGGACTTGTGTAAACAGCCAAATATTATCAAAAGAATATCCCACACTTCTCTGCTTTTATATGTACCCAGAAATGTTTTTCCCCCATCTTAACAAGCCTATTCACTACAGTGGGTTTTGAGTATACATTAAAGATACAACTCCCAGAATTATTGCTGTAAGGAAAACAGGAAACAAAAGCATTATTCATACCACCTTCAGTTGTGCAAAATAAAGTTGAGAAATAAATCTAAGAAGGAATGGGGAGAAGAACAGCAGCAGCAGTATTTGTAAAAGAGGGGAAAATCCAATTACCAGTCCTAAACCCCTAAGTAAAAAAGTTCTATATCTGTTGAAATGTAAAGCTCATTCAGTAAAGTGCTTTGATTACTAAAATTAAAAAGTAAACAAAAGAGACAAAATATCCTATCATTATTTTACGCTAATAATAGTTGAAAATTTGTAGAATAACCTAAATTCAATTAATATTAATACATAATATCATATTTGAATATTACTCTACCCATCAAACTTTCTGTGAATTATTTTTAAATAAAACAAACAAAAAGCTCTAGGTGCTTTGTTAAATGTTGACTTCCTTAAATATGTACATTTTGTAGAAACTTTTTAATAGTCATTTTTTATTTGAGATATGGTTTAAGATAAACATAATAAGATTTTAAATTATACATTTCATTGCTCTGCAGAAGTTTCGATTGTAGCTGTTTAGGTTATTTATTTGGAAAAAAAACTTTGAAGCATTTTATTTCTAAATAAAGGTTTTATCACACATAATTATTATAACTACCCAACAGGAAACCTTTAATTTTATCTGTTATAAGCCTAAGGGTAATACCATTTCATATCTATTTTATAGCAATGTAGGTTCTTCATTCCAAAATTCACTTGATCAATCTGCAACTTACTGCTATTGCCCACCAGTGCTGTAGTCTGCACAGCGCATATGCAAGTATCAAAATCTTGAACCGAAAAACTGCCAGGAGCTATGGAATAAAATATGGAAAGAAAAGATTATATAAAAGCATCTTCTTAATCTTTTATGGTCCCACTCTCCTTTTTTTCCCAAGGCACAGTTTTGTCAAGTTGCCACCACCTGCTGCCTCCTTTTGCCTGTAAAACATAATTATTTCCATGTCTTCACAATCTAACCTGTCTGAAAAGATTCCTCCATGATCTTTTGGTATACGCATATCCAATTTTGTATTCAATAAATTGTCAAAGATTAAATTTGAATTAATACTGACAGCATAACTTCAAATCTGGGAGAAAATTATAATAAAAATTCTGATCTCTCTAAAACTATTTGTTCACATAGGTAAACTGTTTTTATTACACCAGTCGCCTATAGTAAACCCATGGCAAGATAAGCAGAAAATAAATTTAACAAACTATTTTAATTATCCAACTCAAAGTATTTGCATTTTATAATAACTAATAAATGATATATTTTGGAACAGTTTTCATCATGCATTGTACTACAATTTTTATCTTTCCTATCAACATTTGTACATGTACATCAACATTTGCTCCCTCAATTTACTTCCCTAATATCATGGATTGTTTGCGTCATTAGTTTGTTGTCCATTATTTTTTTGATACATTTAGCATTAATGTTAGACCCAATCTTTATCTTTTTGTCAGTTGTCAGGTTTCTTAGTTCCCTGACCTCAAATCATGAACCACAGGTTCAGATTGAATTGCTTTTTTTAAACTAAAACTTTTGATCCATCAATCAGATGCTGGCACAAAAGTGATGTTTAAAATGATGGTTTTTATAGTGCAGTGATGGCTAACCTTTTGTCATCGCGTGCCGAAAGTGTGCACCCATAATGCAATGCACGCATGACCCCCATGCTTCCCCACTCCCGCACACACACGTGATCCTCACATGCACCCTGCCCCATCTGCATGACCCCACCAACATGTGCCCCTGCATGTGCAGCAGTGACGCGAAAACCAGTTGGCTGGCAGGAGGCATGTGCGCATGTGCTGGGGAGACAGTTCACATGCCCACAGAGATGGCTCTGCGGGCCACCTGTGACACATGTGCCACAGGTTCGCCATCACTGCTATAATGTGTTAGTATAAGGAGAACCAAACAGAATTTAAATATCCTTTATTTAAATTCACTCTTGATTACTTCAAGTCAATCTTAATTCAGTCTTGAACTTTATTTCAGTTCAGCAACATAATTTAAAGAAAAAGTTATTCTGACCATATTAACTTATCATACAGGCTAGACTAGAAGACGACAATGGCAAATTACTTTTGCCCTTTCCAAAAAAAATGACATGGATATTCCCATGAAGTTTCCAGAAGTCAAGTTTGAGTAAAACAATACATTTTTTTCACTTATTAACTAGCTTTTTAAAAATTCTTGTTAAAATTCTATAAATCTCTTGGGAGATTTGAGATTCGCATCTCATCTCTCCCATACTTGTTCTCTCTTTTATTTTTAATTATTTCAATACTAGAAATCTGGGTGGGGGGATGCTTCATGGGATGTTTTTAAGTTTAAAATCAATGGAAAACTTGTCAGATACCAAGTTTTACTCAGTTAAAACAAAATCTTAACGGTAAATTGTAAACAAAATGCAATATAGAGTCCTGTATATGAATTCCTCTTACAGTGCTGAAAATCATTTTTTTTTAATGTAGCTATTTACGTATTCTTTTAAGATTTCTTGTTATTTTTAAATTATTGTAGATTAAGCAGAGGAATTAATTTTTTAACAATAGTTAAAATGCAAAAATACAAAATACTTACAAAGATATCAAAATATGAATAATGGTAGTCATAATGCAGAACTTCTTTTTCTAGTGTTTTTTCAATGCCACCATTTACCTAAAGGAAATATTTAAACTAGTCAGTAACACCTTATGTGTTCAACCATATATTAGTAACATATTCCATTCTGCAATGGTAAATTTAAGATAGCGGTTACATAATTCTAAGAATATAGTCCAAAGTAATTAATATTTAATACTACACAGAATTTATTGAAATCTTGATATTTCTTTTGAGTGAAGTCTAAAGATCTGTAGCTGCTGTTCTGAGTTTCACTTGGATGTTTTTATGTTTTGCTCCTGAAGTGATTCTGACAGAATGGTATGCTTAAGTAAATTCACTACTGTATTCTCCATTTCAAGATTATTTTTCTAACTGTGGGTCAATTTAAGAAATACTGCTGTATTTTTTCTAGAATAAATGACTTTTTTGTGGAGATTTTCAGAGTTTTCAGTCAGGCATTTGCATCTCTGGAACTTACATAGTGCAAGCTTCATTATGATGAAGTGAATCAAAGTTTGTAAGATTTAAGAGTGTAAGTTAATTCTAATGAGCCTTAATTATTTAATGAAATATTCTCAAAACTGATCCTAGTTAATTAAATGATTGGAGCAGAAAAGTGATTATTTTTTCATGCTGGAACATTGCATGTTGGAAGATTTTATGAAAAAAATCAAATAAACACAAAATGATATCTATTTTCTGACAATTTTTATGTATCAGGAGAACCTCTGATAACATTTAACAGGAAATTTATATTTCTTCTTCCGTATCTAGAACTAACTTTGTTGACCAAAAATAAGTAATTATCAATACATGTTTTTGATAGTTGCCGACATATCTGCAGATGGGCCGGGCTCTATATCTCTCCACATTCACAAAGTACATTGTTATTCATGAAGAGCCTCCAAGTAGTATAAGGGAGATCAGATCTTTCAGCCATATCCTACTTTAACGTTATTCCTTCCTTCAATGGTCTCCTTCCTCCATCTTTTAATTCAATTTTGTTCTTGTTGCATCTTCAAGAATGTTTGTTTTTGCCATAAAGCTGTTAATAGATCTGAGTTGGCGGGCTTGTGGCATATGACCATTCAAAGGATGTTAAGCATCTCTTGCTTAGTTCTTTCAGCATCTGCTGTTACTTCTCTCCTGATCTTAGGTGGGGCAATGCCTGTGAGAGGATATATTTTGTCAATTGGTGTAGGTTTGAAACAACCTGTCACTAAGCATACTGCTTTTTAGCATGCTATTAAAAATATTGCTTTTTGATTGCGATAACTTGTTTTGCAGATGCAGATGCGCCCCATACTAGAGCAGCATACTGTGCTGCAGAGATGCTCAAGGCCAAAGCTGATGTGCGTAATGTAGATGGATGAGCCGCCCATATGTAATTTATCAATTTCCTGATAATATTGTTCTGCCTTAATGTTCAAGTAAAGCTGTTTAAGAGAATGTCCTGTTGAATGTCATGCCATGATACTTCAATATTGGACAGTGCTGTAGTCGGTTTCCTTGCCATGTAATATCCAATTCTTCCCTTGTATTTCAATTTCAGAGGTGGAAAGCACACGCTTGGATTTTGTTTGGGTTGGGCTTTAAATGGTTAGTGTTATATAACAGAAAATATATGTAAATATGTTTTCAGTTATCAAAATTGTAAATGATATAATAAAAACCCAAATGAAACTTCTCCAATCAAACTAAGCCATCTCTATAAATTCAGGTATCTACTAGGAAGCCAAGAATAGTACCATCTACACTAAAACTGAAGTACCACAAATGGAAAAAAATATTACGGGAGCAGAAAGTAAGGAAGAAATAAATATATGCAACATTTTAACACTCAATAGACATGTTGGTTCACTACTTTATAAAATGTAAAGTGACATTTTGTTGGTTTTTAAAGCGTAGTATAAATCCTGTGCCTTAGTCATCTGGAAAATGTTCTGCCCTTTCCCCAATGATTCTGGTGTTGGCCACTTCTGCATTAGATCCATGTATGCTCTGGTGGGTTAAGTCCTCCTGGGAAATGATACATAGTTGGATCCAGGTGAGGGATGTTGCATCCTTGAGAGAGGGTAGACACCACGGAGGAAGCCATTGCTGTCCAAAAAAACATATTGCAGCACGTTTGAAATTTGCAAAAGAGCACCTGGATGTTCCACAGCACTACTGGCAAAATATACTGTGGACAGATGAAACCAAAATTGAGTTGTTTGGGAAAAACACACAATACTATGTGTGGAGAAAAAAAGGCACAGCACACCAACATCAAAACCTCATCCCCACTGTAAAACATGGCGGAGGGAGCATCATGGTTTGGGGCTGCTTTGCTGCCTCGGGGCCTGGGCGGATTGTTGTCATTGATGGGAAAATGAATTCCAGAGTTTATCAAGACATTTTGCAGGAAAACGTACGACCATCTGTCTGCCAACTGAAGCTCCGCAGGGGATGGGTGATGCAACAGGACAATGACCCAAAGCATATAGGAAGTCAACACAAAAATGGCTTCAACAGCATAGAATACGCCCTTTGGAGTGGCCCAGTCAGAGTCCTGACCTCAACCCGATTGAAATGCTGTGGCATGACCTTAAGAGAGCGATTCACACCAGACATCCTAAGAATATTGCTACACTGAAACAGTTTTGTGAAGAGGAGTGGTCCACAATTACTCCAGATTGTTGTGCAGGTCTGATCTGCAACTACAAGAAATGTTTGGTTGAGGTTATTGCTGCCAAAGGAGGATCAATCAGTTATTAAGACCAAGGGTTCACATACTTTTTCCTCCCTGCACTGTGAATGTTTACATGTTATGTGCAATTAAACCATGGCAACATCTAATGTTTGTGTAGTATTATTTTCAGCAGACTGTGTTTTTCTATTGTTGTGACTTAGATGAAGTTCAGAGCACATTTTATGACCAATTCATGCAAAACTCCACATAATCCCAAGGGGTTCACATACTTTTTCTTGCAACTGTAGATCGACGGAATACAGGAGATGTAAGTACAAACAAACATTTTTCCATATGTGGTGGACATGTCCAGAAGGCAGGAAGTATCGGATCAAAATAAGGAAATGGTTAGAGCAGCGGTTCTCAATCTGTGGGTCACAACCCCTTTGGGGGTCGAGTGGCCCTTTCATAGGGGTCTCCTAAGACCATCCACCTCTACTGGCATCACCCATGCTCAGGAGCATGTCCTGAAGCAGCAGGTGCATGAAGAGTGCTGGGTGGCGAAGCAGCCTCCTCCCGGCTCCGGGCGCAACCCAGACGCTGTCCCACCTGGTCTCCACACCAGGGAAAGGTCGAGGCGCTGAAGGGGGAGACAGGTTCTTCTGGGTGGTGGATCAGCCTCGGCTCCAAAGCAAGCGCGGTTGGTGGTGCCACTTCAACCCAGCCGTCTGCACAGAGGCTCAAAGGCGGCTGGAGAGCAGGAGACCAGCGGGCAGTCGGGCCACCCGCTTCAGCTGGCAGGACAGGCCCTTGCCCAGGCAGATGCATGCCAGGATTCAAGCTGCCTTGGGCCTGAATGCTGCCTTTGCTGCCCCCACAGCCGGTCCTGTCCTGCGGTCTAAACTGAGCTAGGAGGCTTTTTGGCCCTCAGGAAGGGCTGGTAGGAGAGGCCAGAGGGGAGCACAGGCCCCGCCCACCCATTCCTTCCGTCCCGAGGAATTCCACTCAGGATGGAAGCACAGTTCAATGTAGCTTAAGCCTCCATTTAAAATCCCATTTAAAGGGCAACTTCTTAATCTGTGTTAAATCGATTGCTCGCACAAATTAACTGCTACGTGCTCCCACGCCTGCTTGTAACGATCCAAAAGAAAGAAAGAAAGAAAGAAAGAAAGAAAGAAAGAAAGAAAGAAAGAAAGAAAGAAAGGAAGGAAGGTAGGTAGGTAGGTAGGTAGGAATGAAAAGAAAAAGAGAAAGAAAAGGGAGGGAGGGAGGAATGGAAGGAAAAAAAGAAAAAGAAAGAAAGAAAAAGGGAGGGAGGGAGGGAGGAATGAAAAGAAAGAAAGAAAGAAAGAAAGAAAGAAAGAAAGAAAGAAAGAAAGAAAGAAAGAAAAAGAAAAACTGGGTGGGTGGGGAACGGAATGTAAAAAAAGTAAACTTAATAAAGTGAAACTCATGTAAACCACGAACTGCTGCTGGAGGCAGGCAGGGAGGTAGTTTTATCCTGGAAAATCCCAGCCTGGCTGATCTTCTCCCAAATCAAGATTGGCAAATTAATCACAATGCTTTAATTATGTTTAATTTGTAATAAGAAAAATACATCCTGCATATTAGATATTTACATTACGATTCATAACAGTAGCAAAATTACAGTTATGAAGTAGCAACTAAAATAATTTTATGGTTGGGGGTCACCACAATATGAGGAATTGTATTAAAGAGTCGCGGCATTAGAAAGGTTGAGAACCACTGGGTTAGAGGAAATTACAACATGGACATGTTAACTATGGAATTGAAAGACAGAGGAGAAACGGAATACTATATGATTTGGGACAAATGATACAAATTTGTACCAGATTATACATAAATATTATTTAAGAGTAAATTAAAGTGAAAAGGTACTATATATGTATTTATGAATATAGATACAATTTAAAGCTAAAAGGTAAAATATAGATGTATAAATATTTATATAATATATATAAACAGTGATGTATATAATTGGAAAATAAGAATAATGAAATAACCATTATGCAATTATGAGCAAAACTGATACTGGAGCGCTGTAAAGTTTGAAAATGTGGTGTAAATAATGAAATATATGAAATATGTTCAATAAAAACATTTTTTTAAAAAAATTCTCTCTGAAGGAAGAAAAGGACTCATGCACTTGAATTGAGAATTTTCATATATAACTCCTTCCCACTGCACATTGTAATGATTTTATACCAAATCTACTTTTAGAAATAATTTATGGCAATAATAGCTGAGTAGTAGTATTCTTTTACTAACAATGTATAATTTCAAATTAAAATATTACAAAATCATCAATAATCCTTTCTTCTAATTTTTGCACAAAGACTACTTTTTAGAAATCCAGTCCTTA